ATGTATGTATGTATGTATGTATGTATGTATGTATGTATGTATGTATGTATGTATGGTATGTATGTATGTATGTACATATGTATGTATGTATGTACGTATGTATGTATGTATGTACGTATGTACGTATGTACGTATGTATGTATGTATGTACGTACGTACATGCATGTATGTATGTATGTATGTATGTGTGTGTGTATATTTGTGTGTTTGTGTATTTGTGAGTGTTCATAATGTGTTTGCTTACCTGTGTATGTGCATTATGTGTGTGTATAATGTGTATGTGTGAGTGTGTGTGTGTGTGTGTGTGTGTGTGTGTGTGTGTGTGTGTGTATTTGTGTGTATGTGTGTGTGTGTGTGTTTGAACAGTTTTAATATTCTAAGGTTTAGAAGTGGATGAGTGCCCACTTTCACTGAACAAAATCGTATCTTTTAAAATGTTGAACCCACCGTAATATATACATGTACATGTATATATATGCCTATCTGTCTATTTCCACAAAAGAATACGTCATTTGCAGTGAATTTTTCGAACACACACAGTATTTATGTCAGTATGGGAGGGATGAGTGCACTGATTATGATGTAGATCTATTACAGAATTCGTACCCGGCGTTTTTTCTCCGCTTTCATTGGCTGAGTGCGGAAGAATTTCTCCTCGAAGTTGGCCACTCTGCTCACCGTGGGCAAGATTTGACGTATGCGGGACAAGTCGAGGGCAGCCCTCGATTTTTCTATCACGTTATATCTCTCGGCCTCGTGTCTGCAAACGAGAACCAAAAAAAAAAGGGAAAGAGATGAAGTGAAGGACGAAAATAAAAAAGCACAAATATTCATTTTGTCTTGATTTTATACAAGTGTGCCGTTAGTTCTGGTGGTATCGCGCGGGCTATGGTGTGGATGACTCTGGTTCGGTCGATCCCCAATGGCAAATACTAGAAAGTGGGTACTGTAAACTGGCGCTCTTCAGCGCAATGTGAGGGGGAAATTGTAGAAAACTCACGTTTTCCTACATGTGTAGCTTTTCCGACTGCTTATTGTGGAGGAAGATTGTTGAATATTATAGGCCTATATATTAATATAAAAAGTATTTTTATTTGTAAGCCTATTTGCTTATGTGGTGTTATTTCGTAACAACAACTCACAAAGTGGTGTATGTCAGGAATTTTCAAGGGTCCCAACTGACGGTTCTGGGCTCTGTCCTATCGTGGGTGGGTGTTAAAATCGTAGATCGTACCTCTTTTTTAAAAAGTACTCCATCAATATTACATAAATCACTGAACAAAGCTATACTTTGAGTGTCCTGTAATGTATGCTGCCCATAACTAGCTTGAAATCTCCAGCATCAAGCAACAGAGGTCCAATCCCTATATTTCTGCAATGAACCACACTCACGGGATCATTGATCCCAGAAAATTGGCTCGGCACATCAGATCTACTGGCGCCAAAATCCGTTTAAATAATTAGATGTTCTAGCCCTTTGTATTGGATATAATGTGATGCTGGGGCTATACCTAATGTGGATTTTGAGTTTTAAGAATAATTCCGAAAGTCACAGACAAATTATGAATAATAAACAAAGAGTAGATATCTAGAAACAATCAGTTGTGGCTATCACTCACTTGTATTTAGAGATGATTCTCTCTTGGGAGCTGAGCCGCAATGCCAGCTGAGTGTTGGCCACTCGGGTCTTCTCTATGGCCTCTGCGTCCAGTCGGTTGTAGATGTCCGGAAGACAAGCGTTGTTGATGGGGGGAGGTGGGCCGTTGCTGCTGAGATTCATCCTTGCGGCTGATGATCCGTACGTGATTCTCCTTACGTTGTATTACTGTTTTCGGATAAATGGTACATGCTTTATTGTCTCGTAGCTTTTTCTCAGAACTCACCCCCTCTTCTTCTTCTTCTTCTTCTTCTTCTCCTTCTCTTTCTCTTTCTCCTTCTCCTTCTCCTTCTCCTTCTCCTTCTCCTTCTCCTTCTTCTT